ATCGGATCGCCATCCGATTGTCCGGGCGAATTTAGTAATTTTGGCATAAATTATAATTTCGTCACAAAGTTTTTCCGGATTTTTTGGTAGAAGGATGCGTGAAGTGAAAGAGTTGAAGATGAAACGGGAAGAAGTTGGTTGCCTAAGTGAACATCTGCCAAGTGCAGCACGAAAAAAGCGCAATTCATGCTGTTTCTGCTGCTGAAGGGATGTTAGATGAATGATTTGTGTTCGAACACACTTCTGGTTATTTTTATTGATGCTACTGTTCAGGCCCCTTCCGTACTCAGGCCCTTTTCAAAATGGAATGTGCGGAGCAAGAGCGGGACGGGGAACGGGACGACGAACAAGAACCAATTTGCATCTTCGTCCAAATTTTTTCATTCCTTCCGCTCTGATTATTTCCTCACAGATTGCGGTGGAAGTGCAAATTATATTCGAGAAATTACCAAAATTTCATTATAGATAATAGCAGAACAAAGACATTAACGATAGATGATAGTTCTATTTTGCAGGAAATTCTACTATGTGTTGCAATAATCGGGCTGAAATACCCGGTCAGACACACATATACACAACACGGATCGTTACAACAGGTGCTTTTGCATTTGCACAAATGCGCATAAACGTATAAAAGTTAGAATTTCTATACTTTCAGTTTGTGCCGCACATGTGGGAGCATCTCAGTAACAACACTAACATGGGTTAACCATGCTAGCTGTCCTTAGCAGATTTGGTCAATATCAACATTTGAAACTTTCGTACTCAAAATCATTTCTGGATTTTGCTTTTCGTTGAAAAAATATTACTTTTCTGTAGACGTAGTTATCAGTGATACTGTTATTAACAACTTACCGTTTACAATTCAAAAATCTTCTAACTTCTTTCTTTTCTTTTGTCACCCACAGTTTGGAAGCCGATTTCATGCTTAAAATATTTTCTAACAAGAAATCATCAAAACCCTGAATTACCATAGAATACTTCTTTCTTGTTTTATTACTACAAGAAAAATTAAAGCAGGTGGCTTAGATTTTGAAAAATTGAATTGGTTTTTTGGTAGAAATTGAAATGCATCAATTACATCAAAACTACCCGAACTGTTGGAATGGGAATCCGACAATAGTGGTGCTACCAGGATGTATTGAAGTGCCAAGCGCAACTGTGCTAGAGCTTTACATCTTAAACTGTACGTCGCCAGTTGATTGGTACCTGATTTCGCTATTTCATATACGCAGAACTTTCCCGAAATTCATTTGCATTGACAAGTGCTGCATCCACTGATGGACAGCCTGCTAGCAATCTTAATATCTTTTCGCCTCCTGAAGCGATTACTAAGCGGGGCGTGAATCAGTGAAGAGCAAATGCAGATATTATGATATATACAGTATAAAATTATTTTAAGAAAATTAGATGAACAGAAATATTTCGGTCCATTAAGTCTTCACATTCCTACTCAGTACCACAACTAGAAAATGTCAATATGACGGATGTGGCGATAATAAAACAAACGAATAAAATAATATGAAATTTTATGAGTAAAGGGGTTATAATTTCGAATGGTTAAAAGGAGATAAATTTAAAAAAAAAAATAACAAAAAGGAAGGGCACAGATTACCATAAGGCAATTAAAAAATTCCTCATTAGAGGAAATTTAAAATTTGTAATTTAAAATTTAAATGCTAGCTTTTTATTAATAAAGCGGCGAATTAGTTTTAAGGATTAGTAAAAGGCATGAGGGTTCATGGGTGAATCCATCCTTCATGCAGCTTTTTGTTCGGAACCATTGAAACTTGCGTTTTTACGAACAAAATGATTCCGACTGGAATGGAAAGGAACCAATGCACAGAGGAAGTTTTGGAGTGAAACACTGCAAAATATGGGAACAGGTGGCATTACGTAACAGGAAATGTCACTAGCAGCTG